CCGCAGCGGAAGGGCCGCTCGCCCGTGTGGGTCCTCTGGTGTTCGATGAGGGTGGAGCTCTGCCCGAAGGCCTTCCCGCACTCCCCGCACCGGTAGGGCCTCTCGCCGGTGTGGGTCCGCTGGTGGGACGCCAGGTGGGTCTTCTTCTTGAAGCGCTTCCCACACTGCCCGCAGGAGAAGGGCTTCTCGCCGGTGTGGGTCCTCTCGTGCTTGACCAGGTTGGAGCTGAGGCTGAAGGTCTTCCCGCAGCGCCCGCAGCCGTAGGGCTTCTCGCCGGTGTGGGTCCGGAGGTGCTTGACCAGGTTGGAGGTCCTGCCGAAGGTCTTGCCGCACTCGGGGCAGGCGTAGGGGGTCTCGCCGGTGTGGGTGCGGCGGTGCTCGGTCAAGGTGGAGCTGCGGGTGAAGGCGCGGGCGCAGACCGGGCAGGCGTGTGGGTCCTCAGGTGCTCGGCCAAGGTGGAGCTGCGGCCGAAGCTCTTCTGGCACTGGCCGCAGGTGAAGGGGCGCTCGCCGGTGTGGGTCCGCTGGTGCTCGAGGAGGTTGGAGCTCTGCCCGAAGGTCTTGCCGCACTCGGTGCAGCGGTAGGGCTTCGGCGGCGGGCGGGCGCCCTCCAGGAGGCCCAGGAGGTTGAGGAAGGCGCGGGGGTGGCCACCGGGCCGGGCCGGCGCCGCGGCACCTGGGAGGGGAGAGAGGAACAGGCGGTGGGTCGTTGGGCAACCACGGAGGGATGTTCCTCAAAGGAGAACGTCTCCTGGTGGGTCGTTGTTCACCCCCGGGGGGTCGCTCCAGGCAGGAGAACATCTCCCAGACCCTCCTTCGCCCACCACGGAGGACGGCTCCCAGCAGAAGACCACCTCCTGGCCCGCATTTTCCCCATTTTCTCGGGTTTTCACCCCAAAAGACCATCTCCTGGGTGCTCGTCCCCCTGTGTCCCATCCCCCCTCACCTGCACGGGGCTCTGTGGGGACGTCCCCGTCACCCCGGTCCTGGGGGGGACCCAGCTCCATCGTGGCGCCTGCAGGCGGGAATCAGTGCGGGGG